AGGAGCTCGGCAGAATCTTGTTAAGTAGATATATGGGTTGATGGATGTAAAAATAAAGACTGAGTTAGCCTAGTGGAAAATGTTTAAATATGAATCATATTATTTTTTGTGTCAATCATGTAGCTTCAAAAGTCTCCCCTTGCTGATTTCACCACTCTGGGTCAATACTTTTCCTTCTACTCAAGTGACTTAGTGACCCAATGAAAATGTACTGCAGGACCCCCAACTCCAGTCACTGGCATGTAGTAGGTTTTCAGTACATTTTTATTGGTGGGTAATAACTATATGAATGAGTGATATTTTTCTTAGCAGTTACTTACTTTTTTGAATAAACAATTTAACCTCCTTTGTGGAGCTCTAAGATGTACTGATCAGGCACCAGTGAGCCCTGTGAGGAGGTAATGGGATAGGGCTAAGCTCTCTAAACAGGGACTGGGCTTTAGTAAAGCAAGGAAGACTTCATCCTGAGGAATGCTGGTTCAAACTCTATTGGGTTGGGGCTTTACTAAGAGTTCTCACCTTGTGCTTGGCAAATGCTCTCTGGAAGTTGCTTAAGCAGATTGTGGCGACAGTCAAGAATTTCCAGATTAGGCATTGATCCTAAGGATACAGGCAGGTGCTCTAGGTGATTGTTCTCTACGTAGAGCTCCTTAAGACTCTGAAATAACACAAGGGTATACCATAATGGATCTCATATGGATAAATGAATTATAGTAACCAGAATCACTGGTGAGTTCGCATGTTCTTTTAATGAAGATATTATGCATTGAGATAAAGAGGAAAACATATTTTAAAAGGACCACCACCAAAAAATAAAATTACGTAGTAAAGCCATTAGACATGTTTCCCATTTATGCAGAGAAAAGAGAACATGGAACTCTATAATTTTTTATTTGTTTCAGAAGAACTTTATAGAAAAATATTTGGGTTGTTTAACCACACATACCATTTGTTCCCTTTCAATAGCTAGTCATCTGTGGCAGTTGCCACAGGATTGTACAGGATTGTAATATCAATCCAACATTGCCCAAGGAGAAGTAATCAAAATATACAGGTAATGGCTTTACTATTTTCAAATTCACTGGGTAAAAATTTTGTATTTGCATTTCACTCTAAGACTTGGGAGAGTGACACAACCTGTCAAGGAGCAAAATAATGAAAGGAATGCTATAAACACAGGGCAAAGGAAAGGAGAATTAGGACTAGGACCCCTGTGTCTCAGGGAAGAAGTACCTGTGCTGTGCATACTGTTGCTCATCTCCAAGACTGGGGGTTACAAAGTAACCCACACCTATTTTATCATTATTAAAAGTACAGTACCAGGAACATGAAAAAATAACAATTCTCTAATGTATGCATCTACGAAGACACCCTGGTATGGCTACTGTGAATGAAGTTGTCATGTTTTGTTAGGATTTAGCACCGTAATGTGGGCCCATCTTTGGCATGAACCTGGTGCAACCATTAAATAAACCATGATTTGCCTGCCACCATGCAGGGAGGGAGTCACATTGTCCCATCCAAAACCCAGGCTCCTAGCCATGTCACCTGTATACTTCAACTTCAAAACTGTACAATTTTCAGGAGCTACTTATAAAAATTAGAAATTAAATGGAAAAGTGGTATGGCTTAATTTCTGCAAATAAGGCATGCCACACCCCAAAGTGGAAAGGAGTATATGGCATGACATAGCCAATAGCAATCACAATAAAATGATCTTTGGATATAGATCAAGGGTTGCTATGGAAATTTCAGTGTGTAATGACTGCTTATTTGAGCTGGAAATCTAGTATGGATGATTCCACAGCCTGTGGGGACACTGCCATTGTGTTTTCTCAATAGCGGCCAACTTAGGAATCAATGGCCACATACTATGCCTGCTTATTTGGGGAGGCTTACCTGTAGTTTACTAATGTCTTCTGGCAGATAGGTGAGCTTGGCTCCCTGATCTTGCCCAATGTATAATTTCTCTAAAGTCTGTAAAGGAAGGATTTCTTCTGGAAATGAAGAGAACTGGTTTCCTGTTAGTCCAAGCATCTTCAGTTTTGAAAGTGAGCCAAACTCTGGAGGTAACTAGAAGTATTTTAAAAAGATGTTTCAGGTCAAGATTATTTTTAACAGTAAGAAAATTAGTTGGGCTTTTAGTTTTGAGGCATTTGTTGAACAAAAAGAACAATTTAACAATTCCTACTGATGAAAAGTTTGCACATATGTTTATAGATTTAAAGTCTGGAGTTCCACTTGCCCCTCAAGACTCTCTGCTCTTTGCTTTTATGCACTGCTTTAAATTGGAACAATTTTTAACCTACTTTATTGTAAATTTTTGAACTGTAGTGTAGCAAATGCTTTGCACTACTGAAAGAAAAAGTACTAAAGTTTTTAGTGTAGTATTGCAATAAAAATATTCATAGTTAATTCAGTTAATGGAACTGATCAATTTGGAACTGATCAACCTCTGACTCTAAAAGTCTTTAACTCAGCAATTTTGAAACGTCAGTTGAAATCTCAGTTGAAAGGAAACAGTGAAGACTTACTTGTCATAGTCTGTCTTCCAACAAATAACAAGGCTTGGGTGTCCTGTGCAGGTATTAGGTAGGCATTTCACAGACTCCCAGACTTTCCCAACCTTAAAAAGTTCCTCTATTCTAACTCCTTAACGTCGTGGTCAAATATATTCCATAGCTAGCCATCCTGCTCACATTTAAATACTACCTCCTAGAATGAAAACCTTGGACGTCCATTCGTTGGTGTCTTCCTGGATCTCTGGAACCACATGGAAAAATCTTATTCTTAAAATATGTGACAAAATCAGCCCTGTGAGAAAAAAGCCCAGCTATATATATCTATCAACAGCTTCTTAACTCACTTTGAGCCACTTCTCCTTTATCTGGCTTTATTCCTAACTGGCAAATCCTTCCTCACAGTTTCCCGCTTTAACCCTTGTCTTTCCTCTCACCTATGATTCCCTACTCTGCCACTCTACTTGTCACCAGAATGGTTCAGCTCAGCCTGCCCTCTCTACAGATGGGCGGAACAGGTAAATAATTGGTGAATCAGTCCAAAGGAAGCCTGAATAACCTATGGGTTAAAGTCTTACACACCTGTAATCTTTCTTAAGACATTTTTCTCTTTATTGAGTAGGGTGAGGTCTTATTTCCTAAAACAGTAAACATTTCATAGCATTTTTATTTATTTACTTAAAAACATACAAACCTCAAAAGAAACTGATGGTTAAGGTTTCTTCCTTGGTTATTTCAAAACTCTTCATCAGGCATTTAGATTCCTTCAGTAAAAAGCACTTACATTCAGTGCAGTCCAACATCAGGGGAAAAGAGTTGCAATCTAACTACTTCATTATAACCTAGTAATTTCACACTTATTGCTGTTTACTTAGCTCATAGGTTGAGCTTTTCTTTTCCAAATCACATAGAATGTTTAAAGATTCTTGTACAGGATATTCAAGATCCAGTAATTCCATCACAGTCTTTTTTATAGTGGCAATAAATATGGATGCACAGAAAACCTACAGAGCATCAATGAAGACAATTATTGCTGACAGCATAGCTGAGCTATGGCCATTTTGAGGTTGAGTTTTCCCCCTTAATGGGAATGTACCATACAAACAAAATTCGTCTAGACACACACTGAAAGCCATCTATTTACTGCACCCACCAAGGCAAGAAAAAGCTTCTGTCCAGGCTTCAAGAACTGAAAACCCAATATAATATCATGTCCACATTTCAGTGGCAAAATTTGGTATTGGATGAGGTTTATCTTTGTTCTGGAGCCATCTGTATGTGATTCCCTCCTACAATCTGATCTCTTAAAATGTCTCACAGGAAAGGATTAGGTATATCATTCATGACTGTAAAGGAATTAAGTCAATGTGTTACCCTTCCCAAGGGCCCTTTATATTTTTTGAGCCTCTCACTCCTACTATGGAATGGCAGACTTTGTCCACTGCAGGAGGAATTTCTTACTTCAGGGGTGGAATAGCTGGGGGATAGGCAGAGGGCCTCTCATAAAACTTCTCAAAACCTCCAAGGTGAGTCCCTACCCAAGTAGAGATTAAGTCCTAGATTCTGTTCTTAAATCTTAAAGTTACCACCAAAATTTTACTTCTTGAAAGGTAGTTTTAAAACTCTAGAGCAGTTAGGAAAAACAAAAACAAAAACAAAAACAAAAACAAAAACAAAAACAAAAACAAAACAACCACCTGCCCCCAAAAAACAATGTTCTAGAAATGAAAAATCAAGTAAAAGATGAAAACCAAGCAAAACCAGACTTTTAAGGCTGAGGACTTTATAAAGTACAGTGAACCCATGAGGCTGGAGTTCATGGCCAGGAAAAACAGAAAGTTGTTGATTTCCGAATCTCCCTACTTCTCCCTCACTTTAACAGGGCTCTGTTCTTTTTAATTTTCAAATATTAAAAAATCATAAAGAACCAAACACATGTGTACCCACTGCCCAAACCTTTAATTAATAAACAAAATGAAATACTGAATTAAAGTTGAATTGATCTCCTCCTCATGTCTTTGACTTCCTCCCTCTTCCCAGAGGCAGCCAAAATTAGGAAATTTAGTTTTTTCCCCAATCCATATTTTAATATTTTTATTACATATATAAATATCTATAGCATGTGTTGTGTATGTATATATGCAGTATTGTGTGAAAAATTTATAAATGGTATAAACTTCTACAATTTGGTGTTTTACTTTTTAATAGACATCACAATTTGAAATCTACCCACACTGGCACATATTGCTCCAGTTCACTTACTGTATAGTTTTCCTTTTGTGAATATAGTACAGTTTATTTGCTTACTCCTCTACTGGAGTAAGACAATCATTTAGATTGTCTCCCACACTTCATGGTTATCAACCATGCAATGATGAACATTTTAAAAATGCCACCCTGCACACATGTGAGAGAGATTCTTTAGGGACAAATTTGTTCAAGCAGTTTCCCATGAATGGAACACTAAGGTCTCAGAAAAATCTGCTGCAAGAACCCTGTTAGGAGGTGGTCTTTGTTCTATTTAGACCCTGGAACCCAGCAGCTGTGGTTGGTGGGAACCTGGCTCTCAGGTACAGTTGTGTGGCCTTGACAAGTTAATTAAGCTCCCAGAGTGCCTCCTCTTCCTCAGACATCATTGGACATGGTATCACCCACATGCAAGAGTCACTGTGAAGATTAAATGAGTTAATCTGAGTGTGCAAAACAGCCTGGTGACTGGCACAAACATACTGCAAATAAGTATTAGCTACTAATTATGACTACTGTTGTAACTTAGTAGGAAAAGGTAATACAAACGATCACCCTGTTGGGCATATTTGTTAAACCTGATTTTCCACCATGAAGTTTGAATTTACTGATATTTAGCTGCCACTTCAACTTAGAGCAGGAAAAGCCTTTGTGGGAACATGGTGACAGGTAGAAAGGGAATCAGTACCTGCCGTATTTTGTTATCATCCAGTGCCAGCATTTCCAGGTTCTTCAGTGCACAGATCTGTAAAGGGCAGATTTCCAGATAGTTCTGGCTGAGAGCCAAAAAGCGTAAGTTGACCAGCTGCCTGAAGGAGCGCCGCAGTGTCCTCAGGCCAGTGTCGTGCAGGTAGAGCAGGTGCAGTGAGGTCCACTTGCAGATGAGGCGCGGCACCTTCTCCAGGTGGTTCCCACTCAGCCCGATCTCGGTCATCTCCCCAAGCTCAGCAACGGTATGTGGGAGGGAGTGCAGGCGGTTGTGGGATAAATCCAGCACCGAGAGTTTGCTACACTGGGCCAACGACTCGGGTAGAAAGGGCAGGTTGTTATAAGACACATAGAACTTCTGCAGTTTCGTCAGGTTCCCAATCTCTTCTGGAATGACCTTTAGTTTGTTCTTATCCAGGTCAATGATCTCCAGGTTGTACAGAACGCAGAGTTCCAGAGGGAAAACTTCAAATTGATTTTCCTTCAGGTAGATCTCTCTCAGCTTGGTCTGGTTCACTATTTCCTTGGGCAGAGATTTCAGGTGGTTTCTGGTCAGTCCGAGCAGCTCGAGATGGTGGAGGAATTCACAAATGACGACGGGAATCTCCCCCAGGGCAGTGCCGTAGAGGCGGAGCTCCCGCAGTTTGCGAATGCAGCCGAGGACAGCAAGGGACGATGGCAGGAGGGGATTGTGGCTCAGGTCCAAGCCCTCCAGGTTGTTTAGCTTCCCCAGCTCAGGGGACAGCTTCCTTAGCTTGTTCTTGTTCAGGTACAGGATCCTGACATTCTTTAAATGCTGAATATCCTGGGGGATTTCTTCAATCTGGTTATTTTCCAGATGCACTTCTTCTAATTCTGTTAATTCTAAGATCTCCGACGGAATGGTAGCCAAGCTCCGATTAGAAGCATCAATGAAAAATACTCTATCAGATACATGTTCTAGGTCGTTTTTCTGATGTATTTTAAATGAATGTTCTACTGATTTTATGTTATTTGACATTTTGATGGAGAGTTCAAATATTCAAAATCTGAAATATTGTGAAAAGGAAAAAAAAATCAGTTTACCTGCCACCAGACTTGGGGCATTCTTAAGAGAGATAAAGTCATAATTTAGTTGGTTAAATTTAGACCTTGGCATTATGATACAACATAGAATATAGGTTTCTGTGTTTCATGTTGGGAGAATTAAAGAGTTGAACCCTTTCTCCAAACAGGTTGACTGAAAAAATTAGTTAACTTTCAGTTTTTAAAGTTGCCTATCTTGATTGCATTTCCAGATAGGATGTAGAAATTTGCAAAAGATCATTGCTCTTACCATAAACATTGAGAAAACACAAGGAAAAAATATTTTAAAATATTGCATTTTTCCTTTGAGCCATCAGTGGGTTGTGGATGCAAAGAAGGCCAAAAGAATTAAAATCTAGAGATACACTATCCCTTCCTAAGCAAGTAGAGACCAGTGGACACTTTCATGCCTGCTGGTGAGGCAGGTGATAGAAGGAAGCAGGCAGAGTTCAAGGCACTTGTAAGTTTCAAGAAGCTTCAAGACCCTTGTAAGTTTCAAAAAGCTACAATCCAACTCAGCCATTCAACGTCAGCCTTGATTGGTTATGAGCTATACAAATGAAGCATTGTACCTTCAGCCAATCAAGAGTGAGTTGTTATGTCATTAGTTCAGTTCTGTATTTGGTGTGCGGAGTGTGGAACTTCCTCTTCTCAGGAGGCGTTATAAACCGCAGACACCACAGCCCTGACGGTATTCTCCCTGGGAGGCCCTCCTGAGTAGCAGGAGGTTTCTTTTTTCACACATTGAAAGAGCTTTGCTAGTTGCTCTGTTCTTGTCTGCTAGCTCCATTCTTTGTTGCCTCAGAGACACAATCCTGAGAAAAACAGTATCTCATCCAGTAACACTGGTATTTTCAAGTCTGGGGACTGCAGGTAGAGAAGCAAACTTTCCATAGGCAAAGGAACTTCTGGGACAATGAGAAACTAGTGAAATTTTCAACAGCCTGTATTAGCTGGCACAGTGGATTAGAATTTGGAGGAGCCATAAATGCAGTTATACCCCATTAGATGGGGGCTGACTCAGTGGCCTCAGGGGGAGTTTCCCACTACTAAAGCAGAGAGAGATACTATTGTCTCAGGGTCTTAGATCACTAAAACTGGCTGGGTGAAGGGCTTAAATCCCTCAGCAAGACATTTGAAATTTCAGTGAATGGAAATGAACTAAACTGCAACCCATAAAGAAAGAAAATGGAAAAAGAAATCATGTCATGGATTAGAACACTCAATAATGTTAAGATGATGCAAATACTCTCGAAATTGATCCATTGTTTCAATGCAGTCCCAATCAAAATCTCAGCAAGATATTTTTTATTTTTTGATAGACATTAACAAGCTGATTCTCAAATTTATATGGAAATACAAAGGACCTAGAAATGCAAAAGACAATCTTGAACATTAACAGAATTAGCAGACATATTACTAGCTTTAGAAACTTATAAATCGTATAAATCTAAGATGTTGATACTATATTACAGAAGACTAAGTCCTTGGTCATTAATACACACACACACAGCCTAAGGGGCAAGGCAGAGAACACTGATATGATGGTGGTCAGATTGATTTGTAACATCTTTGATTTGTCTGCTAGATGGGGGCTTTCCTATTGGAGTACTCGGCTTCTCATCCAGCCTAAAGGCCCAGTCCCTAGATGAAGAAGGTGCATTTCCATCTCCACACGTACTATTACTGCTACTTGCTACACAAAAGTGTGTGGTTCTGATCTTTGTTACTGAATGTCAAGTCTCAAAAAAGAGCCTTGGGATGGTGTTGCTTTCTTATTTAAAGAAATGAAAATATTTGCCAATGATTAACCTATGTCTAGAACTAGCTGTCTCCAGCATTTTTTCATTTGGTCATCAGACAGATTAAGTTAATATTGTTCAGTACTGTACGATAAAATCTCCTTTCCTAAATACAAACTACTGACAATGCTGAAAGCTCCTCAACAGCCTGTGGGATCTAGAGTGAGGTGGTTATAAAAATAGGAAACATCTAAGACACTTATTATGTGCTCTAGGCTTTACTTAAATTAACCTATTTGATCCTCACAAGAACCCTAAGGAGGAGGTACCATTATGATCCCCATTTTACAGAGAAAGAAACGAAATCACTAAAAGGGCTCTCCTCTGAACACAGTAGGCAGTAGGCAGTGGGAGTAGGAGCAGAGAATCTGACTTAACCTTACTTAGGTTTTTTAACATTATTCACAAGATGCCTGGTTTTATTAAAAGCATTCAAGGTATGAGGTTTTCAGCCTTGATTTTCTTTTGCGGCCTTCCAACAGAGTCACCTGGGAGAAATTGGTGTGGACTAGCCATTCTGATTAGGATTAACACAAGGGCATCTGGGCTTCCAGACACATAAAGGAACTATTTCTCCTAACATTTATCTCACTCTGTGATGAGACCTTCCTAGAATGTCTAAATGTGAATGTACATGATGTCTTGTCTCAATATATGTCCCATCATATGTGTCTGGAACCTATCTGATGGCTCTTTGAAAACTATAAATGTTGTATATCCATTAGCAGAGTTAATAAAAGGAGGTTGCAAAGCCAGGATTTGCAACGCTATGCCAGTAATTCAGCCACTGAAAATAAGAATGGGGAAGATTGGTTCCTTATTGGTATTTTTTTCCCTAGGGGTTGCTACTCAAATGTATTCAAATCAGCTTATCACAACCCAGTATTACCTTGGAGATGCTCCTACCTTCTGACCATTCAGGATATACTACTGTGATATTTGGGGGCCACTCTGCTGTTATTCCAGGAATGCACTGGAGGTCAGCTTCCAGGCCTTGTCTCCAGGTGCCAGGAGAGCCAGCCATCGTTAGTCCATGTGTTGAAAGGTCCAAGGCCATGACCACTCAATGGAGCCTCCAGGGTTCAGTGCAGTAGATGCTGGCAGCAAGATATTCTGGTGGCTGAACCACACCTTCAGTGATTCTTCATTGTACTTGCAGAGTATCTTGCCTGGCTTTAGTACATTTGCATATCCTCAAGTGTGGAGAGAAGTTCATCTCCATGTCAATGAGTAATTTACCTGGGCAACTGAGGGCATGTCTGAACCTGAGAGTCTAAAGGGAGGACTGGCTGGCTTGCTTGCTTCTTCAGGAGCAGGAAAGAGAGACAGCCCTGGACTGCAGTTTGTCAACAATAAATGTTTTTTATTTATTTTTTATTAAGGTATGATTGATATACACTCTTATGCAGGTTTCACATGAAAAAACAATGTGGTTATTACATTTACCCATATTATCAAGTCCCCACCCATACCCCAATGCAGTCACTGTCCATCAGTGCAGCAAGATGCCACAGATCCACTATTTGTCTTCTCTGTGCTACACTGTTCTCCCCGTGATCCCCCACACCATGTGTACTAAACATAATACCCCTCACTCCCCTTCTCCCTCCCTTCCCACCCGGCCTCTCACAACCCTCCCCTTTGGTAACCACTAGTTCCTTCTTAGAGTCTCTGATCTGCTGCTATTTTGTTCCTTCAGTTTTGCTTCATGGTTATACTCCACAAATGAGGGAAATCATTTGGCACTTGTCTTTCTCTGCCTGGCTTATTTCACTGAGCATAATGTCCTCCAGCTCCATCCATGTTGTTGCAAATGGTAGGATTTGTTTTTTTCTTATGGCCGAATAGTATTCCAATGTGTATATGTAGCACATCTTTATCCATTCAGCTACTGATGCACACTTAGGTTGCATCCATACCTTGGCTATTGCAAAAAGTGCTGCAATAAACATAGGGGTGCATATGTCTTTTTGAATCTGAGAAGTTGTATTCTTTGGGTAAATTCCAAGGACTGGGTTTCCTGGGTCAAATGGTATTTCTCTTTTTAGTTTTCTGAGGAACCTCCATATTGCTTTCCACAATGGTTGAACTAGCTTACGTTCCCAACAGCTGTGTAAGAGGGCTCCCCTTTCTCCACATCCTCACCAGCATTTCTTGTTCTTAGTCTTTTCGATGCTGGCCATCCTAACTTGTGGGAGGTGATATCTCATTGTGGTTTTAATTTGCATTTCTCTGATGATTAGTGATGTGGAGCATCTTTTCATGTGTCTGTTGGCCATCTGAATTTCTTCTTTGGAGAACTGTCTCTTCATATCCTCTGCCCATTTTTTAATCAGGTTGTTTGCTTTTTGGGTGTTGAGGCATGTAAGTTCTTCATATATTTTGGATGTTAACCCCTTGTCAGATATGTCATTTACAAATATATTCTCCCATACTGTAGGATACCTTTTTGTTCTGTTGATGGTGTCCTTTGCCATATAGAAACTTTTTAGTTTGATGTAGTCCTCTGAGTTCATTTCCACTTTTGTTTCCCTTGCATGAGGAGATGCGTTCAGGAAGAAGTTGCTCATGCTTATATTCAGGAGATGTTTGCCTATGTTGTCTTCTAAGAGTTTTATGATTTCATGACATACATTCAGATCTTTGATCCATTTTGAGTTTACTTTTGTGTATGCGGTTAAACAATAATCCAATTTCATTCTCTTTCATGTAGCTGTCCAGCTTTGCAGTCAGCTGTCATTTCCCCATTGTATGCCCATGGCTCCTTTATCGTATATTAATTGACCATTTATGATTGGATTTATATCAGGGCTCTCTAGTCTGTTCCATTGGTCTATGGGTCTGTTTTTGTGCCAGTACCAAATTGTCTTGATTACTGTGGCTTTGTAGTAGAGCTTGAAGTTGGGAAGCATAATCCTCCCAGCTTTATTCTTCCTTCTCACGATTGCTTTGACTATTCGGGGTCTTTTGTGGTTCCATATGAATTTTAGAATGATTTTCTCTAGTTCATTGAAGAATGCTGTTGGTATTTTGATAGGAATTGCATTGAGTATGTAGATTGCTTTAGGCAGGATGGCCATTTGGACAATATTAATTCTTCCTATACATGAGCACAGGATGTGTTTCCATTTAT